GTATTTGTTAAATGTAAACATTGTTTGTAAATCCCAGGCCCTGAAGATGATCTCAATAAAAGATCGAAACGTTGGCACGATAAAGAAAATGTTTTTCTGAAATCTACATCACACCCGACCGCATCTCACGATATCTGAATAACTATCGATTAACGGTCACTAATCTCTACACATTTTTAGTATAGTTTTAAATTTTCAGTTTTTATTTTCAGATATGTGTTGTCAAAATATTTTACTCTCAATAGTACAAGTTTGTAATTTTAAATGAGAACATACACATTTTTACCGACATATACATTTTTAAAGGATTTTTAGGCGCATCAGAAAGTTAATGCACAAAATGTGAAAAGATTTTCGTTTTTATTATTATTTTCGATGTCATTTCTTTAAAATATAAAAAAACATTCTGTGCTTTATTTTCAAATAGATCATAGTTAACAATAATGGCACAACAAGTGGAACAAACAAAAATAATACATTCTAATGGGGCAGGAACTGATTGGACTAAATATCTTGGGATGATGTTGAAGGGCCTGCCAGCCATGGGGAGGCATGTTTTTAGTTAATAAACGGTAGCTCCTCCGCGCATGAGTGTAAACTGCGTCCACATGTATAAACACACTGACACAAAGACATTAACATTATATACACACTACGGCTACCGCCCCTAGGAAGGTTCTGAGGCGAACTGAAAGTCTCGAGTACTGGAAATGGCGCACAAGAACGGACACAACACTGCCACACTACACACTAGGTGGCTGCAAGGCGGGAACTTGGTGCAGCTCCCGATGGTGGATGACAATGTCCAGGCTCTCATACACCATCCCACGTCGGGGGATGTTCAGACCCTTGTCGACACTGCGCCACCAATACACAGGTCTATACAGGTACGCGACCATGTGCAACAAACAATTCTCATTTGGAAGGGAGGATCTCCCGGTCAGTTTGTGTATCCGTGAAACCTGCTCCTATGAGGGTACCGGTCAAAAACTGGTTTCGGCACTTCCGGGCCTCGAGTTAGTACAGCGACCCGAATACCGGACTAGTCCTGACTTAATACATCCTGTATGAAGTAGTGCTGCCTAGTACAGCCAGCTGGCGACTGGCTGTCACCGTGCAGGGCATCGCGGTGGTCCCTCCTGAGGCCAGGTTGCGGAAAGATTGGAGAAGCACTCGAATGGGCTAGGGGATCTCCTCCAAAGTCTGAGGATTGCATTCACTTGGGACACATTCAATCTTACAGACAAAACACAAAATTGATGAAGTTGAAAATGAAGAAAAAAAAGGAACATCGAGTAAAAGATCATCAACCGGACGAGATCTCACCAATCACTAATATTCAACGACCTCAGACTCGTCGGCCCGACGAGATCTCAGCCATCACTAATGTAGCGGCAGACTCGTCAGCACCACGAGATCTCAACATCACTAATGTAACGGCAGAGACTCGTCAGCGGACGAGGTCTCACTTTCACTAATGGAACACCGTCGATGACAGCAAGAGTACTCGCAGCATTAGCCTGATCTCGCCATCTAAACAGCTGACTTGGCTATAAACGCCTACTGCTGCCCCTCGGCTACTTGCTGCACTCCAGTACCTTCGGCCTCTGTGGAGTCAACCAACTCACGGCACACCAAGACACCACTCGCACGGTCTCGGCCTTATTCCTTCGTCACGGCTTCTCTCAACACAACACCGGCCCTTCTCAGGGCCACAAAACTCCCAGTCACTAAAACTGTTAGGAAACCTGAACAGCGCAATCCGAGACTCCTGTTGTTGACCCCATAATAAAACAATGTACCAGTTGAAGACTCGCCAGAAATAATATTAGAACTACTGTTAGCCTACATTAATTGTAGTCCACAATAGACTAAACAAGACATCAGGCATCTGCAGATTTTCTTCTTGGCGGTATTAACATGATAGCTTATACACAAGATGGGTTGTCGAAATGGAGCCTGTTATCTGGAGACAGGCTTTGGAGTGATGTAAATTGTTCCTGGAATACCTGACATACTGGGTTCGTGAACACATCAAGCTACCTAGGTGCTTTAAGTGTCATCAATAATAAGTATATGTAAGCAAAAGATCTACGTCGGAGGACGATACGTGTAGGATATGTGCTGGATCCCATGACACCCGAAAGTGTCTCAACAAAATCATCACTCAGTTCACAAACTGCTTAAGAGCTGGAAAGGCTGACCATCGGTCTGGATGCTACACTTACAGAGCTGCTATGACACCACTCATAAGATTTATAAGTTATGGGCAGACACAACGAAAATAAACCAAAAATGAACAAACACCATGCAGATAGCGTCAATTATTCTTAAATGTCCCAATTACTCATAAATCACAAAGCGTGATGAATGAAAACCGAGTTAAAGAAGTCGAACAAAAAATTGATGCATTTCTTGTGAAGGAGTCCTGGGGGCCTGGGATACGGAATGCAATGGGTATTTCGGCTGAAGCAGCGTGGGATAACAACACGCGGCAATTTACGTTATGTCAAGGGACCTTAAAGTAATGTCACTTTTGGAAACCTCTCCTACGTTGGCTTGCGTTATCATAACCAAAGATACTATCAAGTATATACTCTCTTCCATATATTGCCAAAGAGAGGGCGATATAACACAATACTTGGTCAAAATAAGGCTCATTACCAGCAAGTACCGTGTAAATGTTTTATTTAATTATATTATTTTAAACAATGAAAAAATAAATAAAGGAAGTATCAATACAACCTATATATATTTGCATATTGAATAAATAAAATATTGAACAAAATAAGGACGATTATCCATAGTTATTTTCTCTCAATTAAAAGCAAAATATAATTACTTGCTTATTATATTATTTATCAATTGAATGGTAATAAATTGAATATAAGATGATAAATTAATTTTTAACTGGTAAATATTTAGCTATGAAAACAAAGGTTGTGGCTTGTCGATTTACCATTAGGAACCTTTTCGTCATCTTTCTCGGTTGGGAAATGTAAGTTGAACTTTTCCAGATCACGAAGACAACCATTTTCCAAACTTGAGAAAACTTTTTCGCTATTTAATAACCAATCGAAACTTACTGCTCGCAAATTATCCAACGAGAAAGTATTTGCTTCCGAAGGTATGGGTAGGTATTCGGCGGGGCCATTGGAAATGACAGGTTTCTAATAACGGGCCCGAAGAGGGCCTTACTTTCTGTTAATGGAATGGCCCTTCGAGTATTCTCATCCGCGTCAAACTTAAATACACCTCACTATTATAACCGAGGCCCTCAAAGGCCTTTCCGCATAACCCGCCTGACACCAATTGCCAAAAGGTGAGTTTACCCAGCTAGGTAAACTTTCCGTGAAATAGATTTTCCTGGGAGAAATCTGATTTGAATGTTCATTATCAGCATTAAAACCTCGGGTCGACCTGCAAAAGTAGAAGACGAAGTCGGGCGAGTTCCCCTTAGAAAATAGGGGACTTTGAAAGCCCAACAGATGTAAAAGTGTTGATAACCTTAATACTGGGAGTTAACTTATCTCTCATTAATCTTAAGGGTAACTCTGATGATTTTCTCGGGATTATGACATTAAACCTCTCTTTACTTTGTCCCTTCCTTCCCGTTCATCTCGGATTTAAAATGGGTATTTAATTAAAGGATTTTTTTTAACAAAGCAAGAAAAATTCTAGTGCCAATTATTGTGCCAGAACACAAACGCTCTTTTTCTC